AATAGAAATTATTAATATAATAATGTCATTATAATCAAAACTGTATAAGAAACATAAACTCATGATTCAGTAAAATACTTAACTTAAACTTAATAAATTTAATAAATTAATGATTATAATTTGATCAACATTTTTATAATTCTAGTTATACAGTAGTTACACGATTATTATCAATTGTGCTTACAGTATCATCAGTTGTATCATTTACAAGACAGGATAATTGCAATCGCATAGATGTTGTAACTTTTAACAGTAAAGCATCAATACGTATAGCATCTGCGTTATTTTTTGGTTGTGGTATAGCATCAAGAGCTTCTTCATAAAAACTTCTATTTTATGAAAAAAATAATATTTTAATTTTTATATATTTATATTTAATAATTTTATATTTTATATAATTATATAAATCTCCTACCTAGCTCTATCAGTACTGTAATGTAATAAAGTATTTTTTAAAAGCGTAATATCAGTTCTTGCTTGTATAATACCAGCAGAACTAAACTCTGTTACATATGACATAAGCCGTGCAAGTTCTTCTGCTATTGTTTCAACAATATGAGAGAGAACTCTTTTTAAAAGAACTGGGGCAACTTGATGAACCTTTAAGAATATAATATCATATTTATTTCAAATTAAAATATATTTAACGCATTAAGTACCAAGCCTTTTTTGTTGAGTTTTCCATTTAGACCACGATAATTCATCAGTCATAAAAACATATTAGAATGTTAGTTACTAGTGACATGGCACTTAATGTGTTAATGATAAATGAAATCATTTTTTTTATTTTTTTCTCCATATTTACCTCTGCATGAACTGCTATTAAATTAGCTAATATCTCCTGGACGTATGGTTTAACATGAGTTGGCTGTATATCAAAATCCCATTCTAAACCGCCCAAATACATACTAGGCTCGATCGTTCCAACAAGTGGATCGCACCGTTTGTCTAAATAGGCCTCCAAAATATCATTATCGAGAATTTCCAATTGTCCCCGATTAACATTCCAACCGATGTCATTAAATAAATCTGGATAACCTTGAGCTTCTAACGTATCTTTTATTTTCGGCAGAACAATATTTAATGTGTAACGTATATTACTCAATGTTATTAAAAGACACTGTTCCCATATCTATTGAATAATGTGAAATATCAAAGATTTAAATAATGCATAAATAAATTGAGTATATATTTATATTGATACATATAATAATACACTTACAGGCCCTTGATGTTCATTATTTTTATTTTTATAACCAGAAGGCGATCCGATTAGTTGAAAACCCAATGGCTCTTCTTCATCATCATAAGCAACTTGGCAAACATTAAAAACTGATTTTTCTAAACATCGTGTAAATGATGTAAATAAAGCTTGAACGGCATCATAAAAGATCATTTGACATGATGAATCAGCAAATAATGCATTTTCTCTAGGACCGCAAGCAACTACTGTAGCTCGTGCACATTTTGTTAACTCAAATACCATTTCTTCAAATAGATATGGCTATTTAGACAAAAGAAAAAATAAAAGAAATATAATTAAATCTTTGATATAAATAATAAATTGGTCGTATTAAAACTATAGCATAAGAAAAAGTACCAGTTTTGTAACTCCACAATTCTCATTTAAATATTCCATTTGCCAAGTTTCTTTTTTATGTAGAGCTGCTATATTTTCCGCCGTTTTTTTGAATAAGGCTATGAAACATTGTAATCTAAAATAAACGGTAAAAGTTAAAATACTAATTAAATATGACAATTTAAATGATAGAAATATAAGCGTTATTACAAAAAGAATTTTTACCTTAAATCGAAGATAAATTTTCCAAAAATATCAAGGGCATCGCTCGGTAAATCTAAATGAATTAAAGATGCATACATCTGTCTGATGCAATGTAAAATATGTAAAAGCGATGACGCTTCTATGTCTTTGTGACATATATTTTTAATAATTTCTACGGTATGTTGCATGCTTGATAAAACCAAGTTCTATTAAAAATAATTTACAGATTAAAAAAAGAACATTTCAGAGATAAAATTGTTTCTGTTTTTAACATTTTAAAAAAAAACTTAATATTTCGTTCATTTCATTTTTACCTTAAAAGGAATTTGTTTCTCAACATCTACCGCAACATGCAACTGCCCGCTAAAATAACTTTGTCCTAATCTCCATAAATTAGGCAACTGTTGAATTAATATATCATAAATAGCTTGAATGCATGATACTTGTACCGATGTATTATTTTTATCATTTAAAAATTTTCCTGTGATCGGTACGTGTTTAGAAGTTTTACCAGAATCCTCCAAAATTGTATTTTTAATTTCTAAATGCTCTTGTACGCAAGCATTTATACTTTTATTCAAACAATTAGCATGAGAAACTAAAATATAAAATGATAAATTTTGTTTAGACAAATATTAACAGTTAACGAGTTAAGGGATTACACCACCTTGATGCTAGGAAAAGTAGGTATAAAAATAAACATTTTTTTTATGCAGCTATTAAGTATATAAAATAATAAATGACTCATATCTCTGTTATTTTTTAATTTTTTTACTATTTCCAATTATTTATAAAATTACTATATATATGTGTAAAATAAAAATTATTTTATATACTCAATAGCTATGTCAAAAAAATGTTTATTTTTATACCTATTTTTCCAAGCATCAAGATAGTGTATAACCCCTTAATAATAGAATTATTTTCTATATACCTACTTATGGCATCCCAGCCTACATCAGCCTCTGTTTCGAGATTAACAAGATTTCTAATTATTTTTTTATGTTCTTCTAAACTAAATGGCATTTCTTCAAGCTTCTTTCTTAATAATGCTTTAAGAGTTGTTATTCTGTTTTCTATTTCTGCTAATACTATTTTAAATACTTCCACTTCAGTGTTTCTAAATAAATTTTTAACCCTTGCGTAATCGTTAATTGCCAGATCATAATTTCCACGCTCTATATTTCTTTCCATATTAATTGGCATACAAAAAAGAAATTTATAGCGCTGCATAACGGTCAAAACATTTCTGGTAGCATCTGCTCTATCTCTTCTCGCTAAAACTTCGTCAAATAATTTATTGGCTTCCGATATTGATTGTTTAATAGCTTTTTCAAGTTGTTCAATGGGATCAGTTCCATAATTTTTCATATCGGATTCAAACTGCTCTTTAAGAAGCATTACTGTATCAAGTTGTTCCATTACCGATCCTACATTGGCCTGCGATTAGAAATTTAGTAACAATAATCACAAATAGTTTAAAAGTATATCATTCATATAAAATTTCGTAACTACATACCTTCAAAAAAGACAATTGTCCTTCTTTTTGTGAATTTACTTTTCTCTTAAGGAAAGTTAAGCCTAGTTTCAAGTCTTCCAATGTTATAGCATGATAATGTTTCAATAAAAACCAACCTGGGTGAAATTTTTCACTGGTGAGATCGTCGGTGGCATCTCCAAATAATTCCATTAATTCATCATCAGGAAACTTCTTACTATAAATAAATATAATTGAATATATTTAACAATTTTTTTTTAATTAAAACCTAAAATATTGCTATAGGAAAACAACTAAAATTCATACTTATTTCCTTCTACGCTTAAACCCAGAGGATCCTCTTGTAGATAATTAGTTGGCGATAATGCTCTTCTACCCCAAGCAAAGCTCTGCATTGGTGCTTCGTCTACCCATACTGCAGATTCTTTCATAGGTCCTATGGTTTCATGATAACCACGAAATTGTACAGTTGATGTTCCTTGACCTCCACTACGAGTCGTTACTATAATATTACCAAGGCCTTTACACGGACCTGATCTAGCAATAATTTTGTTTGATGATTTCCATTCAGCAGATAATAAACAATCACAGCCACAAATTGTCAACCCTATATATATGAATCAAAAATAACATAATATAATTAACTTCTTTTCGATAAGGCTATGTCATTGACAAGCTTCGACAAAAAAGATGCTCTATATTTATAGAAGACTACAGTCGCTGATAATTTAAAAAACTTAAAGTAATAAAAAATTTAATCACATTGTCTGTTAGCTCGCACTAAAATTAACCCTAAATGAAAGAAACAAACCTATTAAATCTGGAGCCTTAGTACCCAAGAATTCTCCACGTACTATTACACGAGTTCCAGGTGGACCTTCTTTCGGAGATATTCCCGTGACTACCGGTGGTGGCCCCATTTTTATTAAATTATTATATTATTTATAAATACCTAAAGAAGAAAATATTCGTTACTTATTAAAGTAACCTTACTTTGTGCATATATCATACATTAAAAGATTTGGATTTATACATTTATTTAACATACTGTATAGATTGTAAGTAATTAATATTTCATATTTTCCCAACACTTTTTTTTCTTCTTTAAAAGATCATACTTATAAAATAAGCATGGTAATATAACACATCACCATAAGTATAACTTATTTGATTGAAACATCACAAACCTACACAACACCCTATCAACTTATAGACTGCCTACTGTTTAAAAATATATGCATACAATACTAAAATAGAAACTATTAACTTATATCGTACAAATAACACTGTCAAAACATTGAATTAAAAAATCCTTTATTTGTAAATAAATATAAGAAAAATTATTTAATAAACACAGCTTAATAATCTTTTCCAAAATACAAGCTCTATCACTAAATTTTCAAACACATATTAGCGCGCTTTTATCTATACATCAAATGTTGATAGGGAAAAAATTTATAAAAATAATAAATAAATTCCATTTTTTGTCTAATTTTAATCATTACCAATGAAATAAAAATCATTCGAACTAAATATATTTTCCATGAATCATTATATAAGAAATATCTCGATAATAAAATTGATATAAAATTAAATACATATATAAAAGTAACATAACCAATATTCAAATATTTTCTTTAAACATATATAAGATTGAATTAAATATTAATTTATTTACACATTTAACTCTGTAATAATATATAATATAATATAATATAATAAAATATAAAATATCTGATAAAATAATATATTTTAATAAAATTTTGAAAATATTATTTTAGTAATTGTTATATTGGTAGACTTGTCATTATTCGCCATCTGTAAGATAACGTTTGTTCCAAACGTGTACGACAGTGCAGTCGTGTCAATTGAGTCGCGTTGAAAAGTAAAGATGGCAAATGTAATAAATCCAATTATTACACAAGCGTGTGAAAATGTTACCGAAAAAAATAATGGAACTTCCCCTTCAACTCCCGAAGGAATAGCCATAGCTTATGGGAGCCTTGTAATAATGGCAATATTACCTATTTTTTTCGGTAGCTTCCGAGCTGTTAGGCACCATAAGGAGCAGCAGGTTAGTTATATATTTTGACATATGTTATAAAGTCGTTCTAACGTTTAATAATATTTGAAAAATTTAACAATATTATTTAGATATATATATATATATATTTTTTTTAAATATATATAGTTGTCAACATGTAATGCATAAAATTTATATACCAATCTTGTATAAGCGAGACCACATACACACATGCATATACATACAAATTCGTAATATCCACTTTAAACGTAACATCTTTTTATTATAAGATTTGTGAAATATTGTTTACAGCAACATTATAAAGCCAATGGTGAACAACCAGATACAATGTCTCTTAAGGAAGCAGCAATGTTTCCTGTAATTTCCAGCTTTACGCTATTTAGCTTATACATATTATATAAGGTAAAAGAAAGTTTGTTATTATTATTTTATGACAAATATGCTATTTTATTTTGTTATCCTTATAAAATATCATTCATTTTAAAAACAATATCATTTTGTTTGTTTTCATACAGATATTTACAAAGGAGTACGTGAATGTAATTCTAGCTACTTATTTCTTCTTTCTTGGAATCCTATCTTTATGCCATCTTACAAGGTAAATGAAGGATTTCTTTAAATTATAATATATTTATATTTTAATAATATAATATCTTTTTTATATAATTTTTTAAAATTGTAGTTCTTTGATTTCTTCATTGGTTCCCGCTGTAATTCCAAAAACTCCGTATCATATTCAATTCACTAAAGGAGAAAACGATAATACCGAGCATATTATCAATTATAAATTTAACCTTCACGATATTGTTTGTTTAATTTGTTGTTCAATGGTTGGCGCTTGGTACCTTTGGAAAAAGGTAATTTATAAAAAAATATATACTTTTTTATAAATATTATTTATGTAAGAATCTCTTTTTTGTATTTTTAATTATATATAATTTTTACTATTTCTTGTAGCATTGGATTGCCAATAACTTATTTGGAATTGCGTTTGCAATTAACGGCGTTGAAATATTACATCTTAACAATGTTGTCACTGGATGCATTTTACTTGGTGGTCTTCTTTTCTACGATGCTTTTTGGGTATTTGGTACAGATGTAATGGTAACAGTAGCGAAATCATTTGAGGTGCCAATGAAACTCGTTTTTCCACAAGATCTTTTAGAGAAAGGTCTTAATGCAGAAAACTTTGCAATGTTAGGTTTAGGCGATATCGTTATACCCGGAATTTTTATAGCTCTTTTATTGAGGTTTGATAACAGTTTGAGCAGAAAAACAAATGTATATTTTTATGCAACGTTTTTTGCTTACTTCATGGGATTACTCATAACAATATCAATAATGCATTTGTTTAAACACGCACAACCTGCTCTGTTATATTTGGCACCTGCTTGTCTAGGAACGCCATTATTACTAGCATTAGTCAAAGGAGACCTCAAAGCTTTATTTTCGTAAGCATTATTCCTTTGTTTTGTGTATTACATAAATTAAAATTTATATAAATATTTGAAAGTAATATATACAATATAAATTTCAGATATGAAGATCATCCTGCTCAGCCAAAGAATAATACAGTACAACAATCAGAACAGACAACACAAACTCAAGTAGAGACAGCAAAGGATAAATAAATTTTCTGACCACCATAAGTAATATGACATTCCTGTTATGTTACTATTGGTTTATTTCACAAATTCATTATAAATAGAAAAAAAGACATGTGTTTTCTATAATTCTATAATCTACCTTGCATATTGATTTAATTTATTTTTACAATATATGCAAGTTTTGGATGCTGTGATGGCACAAAAATCATTTCATTAATCATTCGGTACATAGCAAGGGTTTGCATTTATTATGCAACTATTCCTATGTGTAGTTATATTTGTAAATTATAATTGTGACGTATAACGATTCTTTAAAATTGTATAAAATTGTATTTCTTGTATTGATTTTAACAAAAATTTAATAATTCCCGACCCTGTAAAATCAATTTTATAGTACATAGTAAAAAAACAAAAGAAAAAAAATTTATATAAGTTCACCACATCATACGATGACATTAATTGTTGTTTTCGATTACCTTTTCCCCCCGTTTTCTATTTTTGTTAAAATCATAATAAGTGCCACAACATTTAAAATATTAGACAATCTATTTGTAAGTTATACAAAAAACAAATTATTTTTGTGAATTTATTTGTTACCAATCTTTCATAATTATTCTTATACAATATTTTGTTAATAATTATAAGCATAGAAAATGCACAAATTAATCTGTGGACAAAAAATATTAAAATATTTTTAAGAAGAATTTATATCTTGGAAATATTTATTGATATTTTTTTTTTTAAATAAACAACTTACGTTCATATAAACTTTTATATTTTTATTTTACTAAATTGAGAGAGAGAAATTAAAATATGGTATACATATATTATGTGTAGAAATTAATTTGATGCCTTGATATTAACACATTCGCGACTGCGATGCGAATTCACGTCATTTCAAATTCTATTCCTGGTTGCCGCTGACGTGAATTCACGTCCTACTATTTATAATTGAATGTTAAAAATTTCGTGAAACACGAGGCTCACGATGTGGCGACCTTTATCGCGTTTTCTCCCTCTTAGGCGTTGGATTCGTCTTTGCGAAAATTTTTATAAAAAGGCCTGCCGTACACAAGAAGTAAAACTTACATCATACACCACCATTCATAAATTCCGTTCAGGAGTATAAAAGAATATGAGATCAAAAAATAACCATTAGTCTTAACCGTTTGAGTACTACATGTGTTGTTTCCTAATTGAAAATTGCCAAGCGTCGCGATAACGCTTGCTGATTTTACGTCCAAAAATGTCAAGGAGCGCGATTGTGCTGTTTTTTATTTATCTGTGATAAGTCTTAATTCTTTCAGTTTATTGTTGTTCTGACATTCTTTTGAGCATAATTGTCGGCTTCGCAGCTTATGTTAGAGCGCTGACACTTTTCAACATCGAACAGAAGAAGCGCGATCCCGACGTTTAGCAGACAAATGGTTAAAGTTCAGAAGCAAGCAAGGAGTGACATAAATAACAATTAAGTAAAGTTACTATTGAAGTAAATATATTAGGTGGTTTTTATATACTCTATTTAACAAACTTTAAAATAATTTACCGTTATAATGGAAAATGAATAAATATATGCTGACGAGATTTCCGAGATCGAATCTACAGAATTTATTGTTAGTAATGATAGCGAGATAGGCAGTGACGTAGTAATGCGATTTACACGGAGAAATAAAACACAGATAATATATGACAGCGAATCTAGCGACAGTAATTACGAAACAGATAGTGGACAAAATGTGATCTAAAAAGAAACTTACAATTAGAAATGTTTACGGATAATTCAAGTGTCAAGGTATATCCAAATAATCCGCAAAGTATAAGTGAAATGGTCGGACTAGTTATTGAAGATAACTATAAGATAAGGTACCGAATTAATTTCTAAACCTAATATATATTTATATATGTAATTTTTTTCTGTAATACTACCAATGTAAACATGTAAATGCAATACTCTTTTATATTAAACTAATCTAATCCATGTGCATTATTTTATTTAAAATATATGTATATTAATCTTATATTAAATTTTATTAATTTGACAATAGTAGGTGGTAATTATTTTGTTTAGCATGTAGTAAAAATATGGTGAAATAATAATTACTCTGTAATAGATAATTGATTTATATTTAACTATCCTTATTCTTATAATCAGAATGACGATATTATGAAAATACGAAATGTTAATTGATCACACTTTAACAGCATTTTCGACAGCTAAATTTTGTGCTGTAATAGGTTTCATATCCTTTATTCCATCCTTAGATACTTTTTTGATTTGGAAATTAGGTAAATTCACGATAAGTCTCTTATGAATTTCCCTAACGCATTTCTTCATCAATTCGTATCCTTCTTCTTCCGTCATATCTGTAATAATTAAACATAATGAAGGAAAAATTTTACTTTAAATATAAAATTTGATAAAGTTAATTAATCCCTTGCACTATAACAACGCGTATGATTCATAATAAGTTTTATGAGCTAAACATGAGAAGCATGAAATATAGCATCGCATTATGGCACACAACTCAGTGCTTTAATCATAGTGTAAGGGGTTAATGTTAATATTATACAATACATAATAATTACTTACCAAAACTATGATATCTATCCAATATAGAAAGGGAAAAGAAACCACCATAACCATGCGCTGCATACGGTACTTTAACGCAAGAAGCTAAGTAATCTATAAAATATAACTGTGGGCCGATTTCGTCGTCGTATCCAGCCATTAATAAATTAACGGTATACGGTGTTTGACTCCTAAGATAATCCGCCAAATTTCTTCTAGTAAAAGCAGTTGCTGCTTGCGGTGATAGTTCGTAACCATTTCTCATTTTATAAAGTTGTATATTTTTTCCAATGTATTCTGAAAACTGAGTTGTATCTCCAGATTCGCCGGAGACAGCCATAACAAGTTTGTCAGACATTTTATGAATTTTCACTTCATCTAAAATAACGTTAAACTTAATTTAATACAAATTTAAATAACAAATTTAGGTTTAATCAAAAATACTCTTGGTAATCCTCTTGAACCATCTAATGTATTTTAATTAAATGTATTTTACCGCTTTTCATAACCATAATAGATTGAGCATTTGTCATATCGGCGGCTACAAGCACAAAATCCTTAAATTGAATTCCAATTAAACATTCCATTTTAAAATTATTGTTTAAATCACTTGACTCGATAGAATATACAAGTTCTTAAAAACGCCTGTCACTATTCGAAGGCTAACTCATCGAATAATATATTGCGAGATAGAACAGCGACTGTTTTACTACTTACAGCGACATCTGATATTATCAATCGGGAAAACAAGCTAATTATCAATTTATAGACGTCGGTAAGAAAGAGTACAATTATTTAATTTAAAAATTTTTTTAATTTTTTTATTCTTTTTTTTGCTTTTTTATATTTTTTTTTTAGCAAAGAATACAGAAGTAAAAAGAAGCTCATAAATTCCCTTTTATCTACTCAGATCTACTCAGTGATATAATCAATTTAAATATTTTACTAGATGGCACTGCGATCGTTGTGAATCTACTTTTATATACATGGGTTTAAATTTTGAATTATTATTTTAAATAGATAATTGATAAAATTACATATCATATAAAATTGATGAAAAATAAACCGAATAAAATATGTTAATATAAATTAGAAAAATGCATAATTTTTATTATTTTCCACTTTAAACAAATAAATAAAATAGAATGGGTTTTCAAACTTCACACTTGTTCATAGAAAGTTTCTTTGTACATACACGAGTGCGTGCGAGCGAGAAAAAATATTAACAATCATATTAATTGCTTATATTATAAATTAAT